AACTTTAGCTCCTAAATTCTATGATCCAGCAAATAGGAAACAAAAAAAAAAAAAAAAAAAAAAAAAAAGGAACAAATGGTTTACAGTTTGGTCATACCGCAATAGTCAACGTGCACACGTATGTGATAGCAACAGCATCCGATCATGCCCTGTGCAGTTGGCTCTTCATAAAGCAAGTACGCTCTTAGCTGTACCACATTGGGCCATAGGCAGCGATAATTGATGTCATTATCAATTTCCCGGTTTAGCGAATCTGCAACTTCTTGAAGACATCTGACTATTGAGCTTTTGTTGCTTCCCAATATACAAACCAAATCAAAAGAGGCGGATAACGTCATCCTCCAACGCAGGCCTAGTTTTGTCACGATCTCTTAAAATTTGTGCCTTTAGATACATCACCTATGTAGAGCATAAAAAGTGGGAGCACAAACCCACTAATTAAGTTATGGCTTCATCATCAAACAATAAATAGATGAAAAAAAAAAAGAGAAAGTAACTGGGTAAGAAGTGACTATTATTGTCAACAGATGAACTTAAAATAACAATCGCACCTTCTCTAACAAGTTGCTAATGAGTTGATTCACTGCAGAGGAGCCACCAGCCGCTCTAAGCAATAATTTCAGAATTGCCTGTCTTACTGAAATACCATCCGCAGATACAGACTAAGATCAGCCCCCAGTGCCTCTTTTTTACCATCACATTTTGTCTACTCTTTTCTCTTAGTACCGTTATAGTCAAATTGGTGGAGCAAAAGTTGTCGCAGATTGTATGATCCCAGAAATCCCCCATGCATAGGCTTAAAAAATGTTTGAACAAAGGAAGTATCCTTGAATGTACATTTTACCCTCTCTTCCGTACTTCTGTCAGCCGCTTTGCCATGCCATTCTTGCAATAAATTATCATCAAAGGTCTTAAAGCTTCACCATCAAAAAGCATATTTTCCTTATCTGGACATTAAAATCTTTGGCCTTTTCTGTTAAGTCAATCTTATATACAAATCAGAATGTCATCACAAGAAACAGCATAAGGAAGTCCAGTCTTGGAATTGAGAGCCTGATGTGACTTCAGCAGAGGCCAATCCTCTTTCATGGCAATAACATTTGTTTTTTTTTTTACAACAAGACAATATAAGCAAATGGTGAGACAAATGTTTTTGGATTTCATAACTGCAAAACATCCCCCAAAGCTTTCTCCACATTCCCAGTTTTTTAGTGAGAATTGTGCCATTGCCAAATAAGTTTTCTCGGCACTACGTAGGCCTCAGCCGCGTGGTCTCATGAAATGTTTTCTGGGCATCCTCATAAAGACAAGTTTTCCATATATGCGAATGAGAAGACCGAAAGACTTCATCGGCAGCGCCCATTTTATACTTCTCAATTTCAGAAAAGAGAGGAAAGGGCTTAGAATAATCTTCATTCTTGTAATACAAAGTAAAAGGAAGGCACAAGTGTAGTTACTAGGAAATGATTTCACGATATCTCATGTCCTCGTTAAAGTTTAGGCCTCATCCATTACATGTTCTTGTACTCAAAACTAATAAGCTGGCTATAGTTACGTCCTCAGAGCAAACCAGAGTGCTTCACTCTCATTAAGGGTCATCAAAGCGCTTCATGAAGACTCTTTAACTAGTGAAGATGACTACTGTATAACGTAAAATCAGTAGGTGCAACCTGTTCACCCACCATCTGCCTCTCATAAGTCTACACCTTTCCATGGAACGAGTTCTTTTGCAAAGACGACAGCATAAAATTGTATTGCAGGAGAAAGTGTAATTCCCTTTTTGTATGGCAGAATGAAATGTCAACATTCGCCTAATGGCGTCCCCATATGGCATAAGTACAAAGCATAGTACCACAAGCAGATTTCATCTGGTTCACCTCTGCTTCAAGCATCTCAAGAAAGTCTGTTAAGCCAGCGTTATCTTTCCACTTGCCGTATAAGCGCAAAAACAATGTGTATAAACAACAACTCGGGGCGATAGCTTAACTGTTAAAGCAGTATTCTCTCATTACACTATACTTAAATGTTTCTGTTTTAGAAAAAAGAAAAAAAAAAACACAATCTGCCGATTTAAGAAAATAAATTGCAAACTGAGAACATTGAACATTGCTTTGCCATAAAGAAAAATGAAGCACTAATCAATAAATTTGGTGTGCATATCTTCTGACCTATTTCAACCATAATAAAATAACATAAATTTAATACATAATCATAATAAAATATTAAACTTAAAATTCAAACACAACTGCAACTTCATCCAATCAAACAAATCCCTACCGTTCAACCCTTTGCTTTTCACACCACAACATTGCTATAAAAAACTCAATTTTCCCACAAAAGCTCCCCATCACAACCCTCATGTTATCACTTATAATCTCCTCTCTCAAGCCTTTATCGCCGCCACCGTGCTCCATACAAAGCCCATTCGATCACCTCCAAATACTTACAATCTGCTCCGGCGTCCTCTTTAGCCATATGGGCGTATCGCTCTTGCCCATGGTTCCGCCTCAGATCGCTCAAGTCTTGCGCCTTCGCCTTTATTATGCGCCGCGCGTTGTCGTTTGAGAGAGGGTTTTTAGAGGTTTTTGAACGGGGTGGTTTCGGCTTTGTTATGGCGTTCCCGTCGTAAGGACCATGGGTCTGGCTGGATCGTGAAGAGGCACTGATGGGATCGGGTTTGTTTTGGAGACTTGTTGGGAAGGCGGGTTGGAAGGAGGAGTGGGGTGGTGGTGATAAAGATAGTGGACGGAAGGCGCCATTGGACGTGTTTGGGTTGGAAATGATGGTTTCTGAAAACTTTTGAGTTGTGATGAATTTTTGCGGGAAGTGGTGAGGTTACAGTGGCATAAATGTAGAAATTCAAACGGTTGTGAACGAGGTGTGAGCGGAAGAGGAAATTTTAATTGTTTAATTTTATTTGCAATTGTATACGCGTAAGAAAATACTTGTTTGGGTAAATGACAGGTAGCTCACGTAGGTTGAATATCTTTAAACCCATTGCGTTGGAAATATTAATTTCTCGTTGGTTTCACTATTTAGAATAGCATTTTGGAAACAGTGGGTGGCGTTTGGGTCCCTTTTCTATTGTATTGGAAAGGATTTAGGGAAATGTGTTTGTTTTGTACTCAGAGAAACAAATGGTAAAATGGGATTCTTGAAGTAGTTAATGACTGTTCTGACAAAGGTGCAGTGCTTTTTTTTTTTGTTTTTTTTTCTGCTTTTCCTCTATCTGCTTATTTTCTTATTCTTTTCTTTCACCATTGGTAACACAGTTGAAGACATTCAAAAACTCATCTCTTCCTTATTGTCTTCTTCTTCTTCTCCCTTCACCACGGTAACACAGTTGAAGGCATTCAAAAACCCATCTCTTCCTTATTTTCTTCTTCTTCTTCCTTCACCACAGTAAGACAGTTGAAGGCATTCAAAAACCCATCTCTTCCTTATTTTCTTCTTCTTCTTCTTCCTTCACCATGGTAACACAGTTGAAGCTTCTTCTTTTTCCTTCACCACGGTAACACAGTTGAAGGCATTCAAAAACCCACCTCTTCCTTATTTTCTTCTTCTTCTTCTTCTTCCTTGACCACGGTAACACAATTGAAGGCATTCAAAACCCACCACGTTCGAGCACCACCTACAGCATTGACAAGTCTGTAGATCCACCAGCAAAAGGAATGTTTTCTTCTCCAACCCGAGCCCATATCCAAAACCATCGTTGGTAAAACCTCCCCCCACCCGAGGCCAACAGCTTCTTTAACAAGTAGCAATTCCACCACCATCATTGGCAAAAGGTCATCTAACCCGAGGCCACCACATTCTTTAAGCAGTAGCCTATGTTTAATATTTTGTGAAATATTAGTTTATGTTTGGTTTATGTTTTAGGATGCATTTGTGAAATATTTGTTTTATTATGCATTTGTTCTGGATTTAGTTTATATTTATTTTATTTTGCATTTGTATTAAATTTGATTATGTTTTACTTGTATGCAATGCAGTGTATAAATTTCATTAGTTGTTTGTGTTTTTTTCATAGTTGGTTAGGTTGTAGTTAATATCGATGTATATGGCTAAAAGTAATTAGCCTAGTTAGTTGAATTGGTTATTATACTTACTGTCAACTACAGTTAATTAACCATGGTTACTTGAAATTTTGGGCAAATTCAGCATCGTTATTTGATCGTAACAACAAATTATGATCGTATGACCAAAAGTCATTATAATGCCCAGCGTCGTAGTATCAATTACTACTTTCAGCAGAAGAGGAAGTTTCGACATTTTTCCAGACTTGGAGTTTGTCATACACCCTGTTGGTCAACACTGCCCGTATTTTCCTTTGCATTGACGGCTTCAAGTAGTGTTAGATCGAACGAGATAACAATTTATCTGTGTTTAGTTTATGAGGTTTAAGTGTGCACATGTTTGTTGGTAATGTGTTTTCTGATTATTATGGTGTCCCAATCTTGGTTGTCATTCTCACCGTACTGTTATTAGATGAGTGATAATGTGAACTGGTTGGCTGAGATGACCCACAAATTTCTGGTCCTATTGTCTGAGCGGGTGAAAACTTCCCACGATACTTCAATAAAAACAGTAGATTACTCAGATATGTTGGATGACTTATCATCATTGGTTGGGAGGAGACTCAACGTGACACAACTAGCCTCTAAGTACTTTCACCTGAGAAAAATTTATCAAGCATGGCGGAAATTACTTCAACACACGGGCTTTGGTTGGGATCATGAGTCGTAAACTCCAACGTGTCCTATACAGGTTTAGCAAGAATATATCAAGGTAAATTTCAAAAAATTTAATTCATATTAATCTATGACATCGTTCTTTTACTAATTTTTTTTTGGGCTGACATATATCAATATATGTTTATTTTTCATTACCAGCAAAACCCACAGGTGTAGCAATTCTTCCACAAGGGACTTCCTCACAGGGAGCTTTATGAAGTCATATTTGAGAAGCAAACTACCACAGGGAGATATGCTTACACATCTATGTTTCAACCGGTGGAGAACTTCACTTCTTCCGATCAGGGACTGGTTGACATTGATGATAGTGACTTTGAACCTGATTTGGATCGAATGATAGGGGAAAAACGGTCAAACACATCTAGTCATGCAAGACCGAGAAATAGGAGGAAGAGAAGCGGCCCAGGACAGGCACTTATGGATGTCATTGGCAAATTGATGGACATGCTTGTAGAGAGGAGTATGGGATCGAGGGCTAGCAATCGCAGTGGAGATGAGGGGGACGAAGAGAACACTAGTGCTCCATCTGATCCGTTTTCCATGAGCCATTGTATTGACATTTTGACGGCCATGCAAGTACCCACAGAGTTTTACATGCCTGTTGTCAAGTACTTATATCAAAATCCAGGGTGGCGAGAGGTATTCGTAAAACTCCCGCTTAAGGAAAAGGCTAATTAGATTTATAATGACTTTTGCAATTTGTAGATGACCCTGTATGTCCTAGGTGTTTGCCCACAATTTTGTATGTGCTAGTGGGCACTTATTCCTTTTACAGCTAACCTAAAATTTTTTTCAGCACCTTGATTTGAAAAATGTACCCAACTGTCTGCGACTGTATGAACTTATTCATTGTGCTATTGTTTTATGTGAGATAACATGTTTCATATGAGTTTGATATTGTAATTAGAATTAAAAATTCACTGTTATATTTTGCTAAGTACTACAACAACTGTTAAATGTTGATCAATGTTTTACAAATGTACAAGTTTAAATGGCGTCGTCTAGGCGTACAGAAAGAAGACGACATATTACAGATGACGAAAAAGAAATACTGACAGATATAACCGTTGCACTATGGGCTGTTGCTGCGTTGGAAACAAATGGGCGTCAGTTACGATATACATCCATATTAATTGGTCATGATTACATGTTGGAAGTACTAAATGGTCATGATGACAAAATCTTTGACAAGTGTCGCATTGGCAAAGACTGTTTTACAAACTTATGCTACATTTTGGCACAACAAGGGAAATTATGATCAACCAAGAGGATGAGTATTGAAGAAGAAGTCATGATATTTTTTACAATCGTTGGTAAAAACGAGACAATCAGAACCATGATGAAGGATTTCCAACATTCGGGTGAGAAGATCTTTAGTTATGTTGGAGAAGTTTGCGAGGCGATATGTAGTTGAAGACAGAGTTTATTAGGCTACCTGACTTCAGTGATGTTCCACTAGAAATATCGACCAATCGAAAATATTACCCTTTCTTTAAGGTACTTCTTCATTATGTTTTATATTAGTGAGTAGTTAAGTTCATTGTGTTATTAATGTTGATAGTCGGTTAATATTACTAAAATTCAATTTTGATGATAGGATTGTATTGGAGCGATGGCACACATGTGTACGCTTCGGTTCCACAGGAGTTTGGCGATAGGTATTAGAATCGCAAAGGAACGTTGTCACATAATGTAATGGTTGTATGCGACTTTAGGATGATGTTCAATTATGTCGTCATTGGGTGGGAAGGATTTGCGCATGATTCAAGAGTTTTAAATTCAGTTCTTGATGATCCTAATTTTGGATTCCCACATCCTCCACCAGGTATAAGTATCTTCTTTACGTATTATAGCGTATTGGCTCCATTTTTTAGGCCCTAGAATTCAAATAACACGTGTGATTTTTTTATAAGAAAATACTATTTGGTTGATGCGGGTTATCCAAATAGAGAGGGGTTCCTCACCCCTCATAAGCGAGTGGCTTACCATATTCATGATCATCGCCGTAACCGAAGGGGGCCGCAAGAGTTGTTTAACTACAGACATGCATCACTACACAATGTTGTCGAGAGAACCTTTGGTGTTTTAAAAAAAAAAAAATTTTGTTTTCTCAATGGAATGAACAATTACCCGTTGGACAAACAAGGGAAGATTGTTATGACATGTTGTGTACTTCATAATTTTATTAGAATGTACAATATGGAAGACCCTATCTTCCAATGGTATACTGAAAATACAGGTAATGAACAAGTATATTTTGATGGCCAAAATGGGGCAGAAGATGGCGGAAATGGAGAGGGATTGAGTCAACCGCAACAAGGTATTATAGACGACATGACGATTGTATGGGATAACATAACGACTAAACTGTGGGTAGCACATATGACCATGTCGTAGTTGTTAATGGAGTATAGGTGTACAAACGATTTTAAGGGTTGATAATTAGTAGCTTTGTCATATATGTATTAATGTGGTGTTTTTAAATAGTTGGATTAGTACTTGAAATTAATATGAGAATTTTTTTATTAATTTAATGGTTACAAAATTACCAATCAAATGTTTAATATTATTAAAATGTAAATTGATAAGTTTTTAGGTGATAATAATAAATTATTTTAACAAAATGCACCAAAATATTGTATTAATAAATCAGTTATAAAAAATATACCAAACAAATATTCAACAATTTATTCAACACAAATAACAAGGTCAAAATACTCTACCAAACACATTTTATTCAAATCCTACTCTTGTAATAATAACCCAACTCAACTCCACAATACTATTTCAAAAATCATATCCAAAATAACAAAACAAACACACCCAGTATTTTTGGAAAATATGATAGGATTTTGAGAAGTTTTTGGTACATTTCAGAATAGCATTTTCTGAAAATATTTAAATTATTTTTAACAAACAAGGTTTATTAATTTAACTAAACACCCCCCACAATAAAAGTTTATAAATTGACAAAAACACCTCCACCCACCTACATATTGACGACAGTCGGCCACCACCGTCGGAAGTGGCCGGAATCTGTCGAAATGGCGCACGACCTGGTGTATCTGACCGATCGTGGCCTTTTCTAGCCAGATCTATGGTGGATTTGGTCAAAAAGGCCAAATCTATGACCACATATCTGGCCATCGTTTGGCTATCAACAATGGCCAAGATATGACCGCCATTAACGAATAGATCTAACCATCAATAGCTAGATCTTTGGTCATAGATATAGTTGGAAAAGGTCATATCGACGCATGATTGGTCAGATCTAGCTGTTCGTGCGCCATTACCGCGATAGCGGTCGACAGTCGTAGCGGCGATGGCGGTGACTACTGGCAGGTGATAGTGGCTTGGGTTTGTGGGGGGTGTTTTTGTTAATTTTTAAAAAATTTATTGAGAAAGATAATTATTAATGTTTTGAGTTGAATATAATATGATTGGATTTTAAATAGAATTTTGAATATTGAAATAAATGTGTATTTGGATAGGATTGCATAGGATAATATGATAGGATAGTGGAAAAAAAAAATGAACCAAACAAGCCTAAGAAAGATTGTGATTGGGCTTGGATCAATTTGTGTTACGATAGCTTGACCCTATTTAAATATATAACATATCATGCACATCCACGATATGCAAGAATTTCATAACAAAGAAAAGTATATACATTTATCAAGGAGGACACAACGAACCTTACCCTCAAATTGTATATTTTTGTATTAGAAAAAATAAAAACCTCAAATTGTATATTTTTTTATTAGAAAAAATAAAAACATAGTAAGTGAACATATAATATAAATAAAAAAAAAAAAAAACAATTTCAGTTATATAATTATCAAATATTTAATATCAAAGTTACTTAAACTCATCTTAATATAATTCATCAATTATCAAATATTTAATATCAAAGTTATTTATACTCATCTTAATATAATTCATCATCAATAATGGAATCTAATAACTTCATATCTCTAATATATAAAATTTAAACATTACTTTATATCTCAAAAAAAAAAAAAAAAAAATTATATTAATAAACTTAAACAATTCAACCTAAGTTAATTTTCATCACCTTGTTCTTCAAACATTTAACTATTAAAGGTTTTTTAAACACATCTCAATATATAAAATATCATCAATGAAATCTAATAACTTCATATCTCAAAAACAAAATAAAAGAAAAATAAACCTAAACCAATTATATAGGAAACTTAAACAATTTAATCTAATTTAATATTCACCACCTTATTTCACGAATATTTAATTATCAAAGTTATTTAAACATATCTTAATATAATTCACAATCAATGTAATAAGATCTAATAACTTCATAACTCAAATATAAGATTATCAAATATTGTATAGAAAGTGATGTGACACCACTCTTTTATTGATACGTCATTCATTTATATTTATTAATATATTTAATGAATTGATTTTTTTTATATGCATTCATCCATTTACATTATCACATATCAGTTTTTATAAAAGAATTTGTACAAAAAGTTTGTAGATCTAGTATTATTCTTAAATTAATATAGAAACATAACTGGCCTGCTGTCTTACAGAAATTTATGGGCTCCAAAACTTCTTGAGATATTAGAAATTTGAGTTGATTATCAAAAACTAGTATGCTATCTTATTTAGGCTTTTATATATGTGTTATAACTATTTATTCATTTTGTGGATATTTGCTGTAATTGACATTAATTCATCAATAATATCCGCAAGTTATTTTAAGAAGTTAATTAAATCTCTTCCTGTCTTGTTCATTTAATACTAACCTAGTTAGTAAATTCACATATTATTTACGAATTATACGCCGTATAATTCACATATTATTCATGAACTATCGTATTTTATAAGTCCAGCCGTATTATTTGCAAATTATATACCTCAACCATATTATTCGCGAATTATTCTCGTATTTTTTCTGTATCTGAATTTTTGCCGAATTTTTACAGACGTATTTTTCACCGTTTGTCATATCATACCCGTAAAATTCCCGTACCCTTTTTTAGCCGTACCCATATATTTGAAATGCTATATAGATTTTAACCAAATGACCCATAAAAATTGCTAAAACTAAGATTGATATTATCGTATTTTTCAAAACGTATTATTGACAATGTACCGTATTAAACCCGTATATACCCATATCGTATTTTTTCTGTATTGGAATTTTATGACCGAATTTTACAAACGTATTTTTTACCATTTGCAGTATTATACCCGTAAAATTCTTGTACCATTTTCTTTGTCATACTCGAATTTACTAACTAGGAATAACAAGAATGAAATAGTTGAGATCAAATTGAGAAAAAACGGTTGACGCTTGAGAAAATCAAGGCCGCTTAATTTGATAAAGTCGGTGCATGCTTAATTTGTTAGATTCTTTGAATGCATCTTTTACTAATTAGCTACTATTCAATTCAACTTTGTATGTTCGTATATGCAACTCTACACTTTTGGGAAAGTTTTTACGTATCCCATAATTTATATATAGAATATTATGGTGATGTTTGTTTCAATTCAGCGAACGTTATGTTTGATTGATAATAAAAAGAATAAAATTAATTTTGATATACAAATATATAAATTAATTTTCAATTAAAATATTTTGAATTCAAGTTTAAATTTAATATTTTTCTAGTTGTTTTGAAAATGAAAGTTTATGTTGATGCTCGTCTTTGGCACCAACTAATTGTCACGTGTGTATCACTGATTGGTGGAATAGCACACGTGGTAATGAATATACGAAGTGAAATAAATGCCAAGAAGACTTTTAAAGTGGTTCGGATGCTAAGGTAGCAAGTCCTACGTCCACTGATTTGTATTGATATTAGTGTGGGTCAGGTCNATCTTCTTGCCGAAGCCCTAAAGCTGCTTGCTGATGCAACTTCCTCACCTGGAGATATTGGGATAAGTTGGAGTAGACGGGCAGAATGTGCACCAAATGATACAGAGTGTGTGATAACAATTGTATGTAAATATTTTGAAGCTCAAAATCCTAAAATTCATGATAGTTCACTCTACATCTGCAAAGAAATCATCTCTTCTTTGATTGCTACTCCGTTAATCTTTTCAAATTTTTATCCTATATTTGTTTTACCTATTGATTTAATCTCCTCACTCAAAACACTGATTAACTACATTACATCTCAATATTTATGGCTTTTCATGTTCTTGACAGAATGATATCTACATGTGGCTTTTGGCAACATTTTTTGCATGGTTTTTATTGGCTATCTACCTCGATAATGTAATTGCAAATGAAGCTGGTGTGAGGAAATCAATGTTTTACTTTTTAAACCCCTGGTATTGGACAGGGAAAGGTGGAAGCAAGCCCGAAGGTAACCAAGTTTAGAATTAAATCTATGCTTATCAGTTCTTGTTGGCTAGTGTTATTTATATTTAGGTAATAAAGTTGGCTAATATTATGAAATTGCTATTTTGTCTTCCCTTCAAAGAGGGTGGCATTTGTAGTTGTATCGGTTCAGTCCCTCCATTGGAACATATTACTCCAGATGACGAAGATGTTCTTGTAGAGGAAAACATTGTTAAACAGCAAAGTAGGGAAGGTGTTGAGCCAAATGTGGCAGTTCAAATACGTGGCCTTGTAAAGACATATCCTGGGACGAGGAACATAGGTTGCTGTAAATGCAAGAAGACTTCACCTTTCCATGCTGTTAAGGTAAGAATGACTTTTTAAGTGATAATCTTAACTTGAGAAGGTAGAAGAAAGACATTTATTCTAGTTGGACATACCGCTGTATTGCTTCCATGGAGGAGATTCTTCTTAATATAATCACAATATTTGTTAATGCACTTGGTTTTGTTTTTACATAAACTTCCTTCAAATTTATATTTCATTAAATGTTTTTGGTATAATTGATTGTAAGCAGTATTTCTACCAAACAATTTGATTCATTTGGTTGTTGGCCAATAAGGGTCTTCCTGCTGAATCAATGGAATTTAGATGGATGGAAGGACACTTTTTTTTTTTTTTTTTTTTCTGATGACAGTATTTTGTTCTTCTTAGATGTTATCACAATCAAATTTCCTTTTTCTTTGGTCATGAGTTATCAAATGTCACTATAATGTGAAAGATGACACTGGGGGTACAAATTTATATTATTGGTGACTTGCATGAAATTAAAACCATTGCTTATTTTCTTATTATCCGTCAGGGTTTATGGGTAAACATTGCAAAGGATCAGTTATTTTGTCTTCTTGGACCCAATGGTGCTGGAAAAACTACCACAATCAGCTGTTTGACTGGCATAACGCCAGTGACTGGCGGAGATGGTAAAAATCTTGTCTAAGTGTGTGTTGTGTTTTTGTCAATGCACAGTTCAATTACGTTTAATATGACTTGAAGTGGAAGTTTACAATAAAATCTGGTTTATTATCAGCACTGATTTATGGGAATTCCATTGGAAACTCAGTTGGCATGTCAAAGATTCGGAAAATAATAGGCGTTTGTCCCCAGGTGATTCTCTGTCTTTCTCAGTAATATGCTTGTTTTCGACAACAGTTGGGCATGATTTCCACAGTTTGTGACTTTCAAAATCATTATGAAGCTAACCTTTGTTTGAACTTTTTGTCTTCAAAGTTTGATATTCTTTGGAATGCATTATCTGGTGAAGAGCACCTCCATCTCTTTGCTAGTATCAAAGGCCTACCTCCTGATTCAATCAAATCGGTATGTGCTTTGCAAACCTGCAAGCTACTTTTCTGGTCATTATAAATGAAGACTCCAAATATGCCTTGAGATCCCTAAGTAACTGTCTATCTACATTTACCCTTGAAGATTTTCATAGTATTAACTAATGATACCCCTGCTTGATGAGCTCATTTATGTATAAATGACTCTTTGCTCTGTCATTTTTATCAAGACAAATGTTTCAACTCAAATACAGGTTACTGAGAATTCATTAGCAGAAGTGAGGCTCACTAAGGCAGCCAAAGTAAGAGCTGGGAGTTACAGTGGAGGAATGAAGCGTCGCCTGAGTGTTGCAATAGCTCTTATTGGTGATCCGAAGTTAGTAATTCTGGATGAGCCGGTAAGCAGATTAGAATAACTTTTCATCATGAGTAATGCATCTATTTATGTGAAGGGTTTTCTTAATTTTCAATTATTTTGATCTGCAGACTACTGGAATGGATCCAATAACAAGGAGGCATGTGTGGGACATAGTACAAGATGCAAAGAAAGGGCGTGCCATTATCCTTACAACACACTCAATGGAAGAAGCTGATATTCTAAGTGACCGCATAGGAATCATGGCAAAGGGTAGGCTTCGCTGTATTGGAACCTCAATCAGATTAAAATCGCGGTTTGGTACTGGTTTTGTTGCTAATGTCAGTTTCACTGAAAGCAAAAGTGAACAAAGTCCTTCTAACAGGCCAGAAACAGTTGCAACACCTCATCATGATGCAGTGAAGCAGTTCTTTAAAAATGTATGCAGAATAAATAAAAAGATTTATAGTTTTCTTTAACATTGAAAGATTTGGCATCTGACTTGGGCAATATATTGACAGCATCTAGATGTAGTACCGAAAGAGGAGAACAAAGCATTCCTGACATATATCATCCCTCATGATAGAGAGGAGCTTTTGACGGTAAGCATATCTCACAGTTTGAATCATTTCCTTTACATGGAATCGTCCTCCTTTCATTGTTGTAACTTTGGTTTGGATGCCAATTATGGATTTGCATAATAGCCCAGTGAAAAGAGAAATAAGAAATTATGAAACTACTTGTCTTATCCAGCATAATGCATCTTGTATCGACACATAAAAATTAAGGGATTTACTGAAATTAAAAGCTTTAATTTTTTTTCTCTCCTTTCCTCTGACTTTATTAATTTGAGCAGAATTTTTTTAAGGAGCTGCAAGATAGAGAAAGGGAATTTGGTATAGCCGATATTCAATTAGGTCTTTCAACACTAGAAGAAGTTTTCTTAAATATCGCGAAACAAGCAGAACTAGACAATGCTGCAGCTGAGGGGAGGTTGGTCACTCTAAACTTGTCATCAGGGGCCTTAATTGAGGTATGTGCTATTCTGTTCATATTGAAATTTTTGCATATTATAACGCAATGGAGTGTAGAAAAGATTCCAGGGATTATTTGATTTATATCCTTTTCATTTTCTTAAATGATAATGCAGATACCTCCTGGAGCACGGTTTGTGGGGATCCCAGGAACAGAAACTGCAGAGAATCCTAGAGGCATAATGGTTGAAGTATACTGGCAGCAAGATGATTCTGGTGCCCTCTGCATTTCTGGTCACTCTACCGAAACTCCTATACCTCCTAATGTGCAGTCACTAGCTCTGTCCGCATCAACCTCCCGAAGAAGATTCTTAGGGCAAAGAAGACCAATTCATGGTGTTGTGCTTGATCCCAGTCAGATTGATGCTACAACGTCTTCGTAACGACAAGACAATTTTTTTTTTTTTTCTGTATAATTAATTTATATATGTGTGCTTCATACAATAGGTAAATATTATTTACATAGTTTTGTCACAATTTGTAATTCTTTTTTCAAATGTTACCAATAATAAGACAGTGAAATTTATGTTACAGTAGCAACATTGAGGAAATATGTTGTGATTCTAAACTTCATGCTTTTCAATTTATTCAATTTTTTTCTCTCTCTAGGGATTCGGCATTGATTTAGCCTTCTGGGTTAACTCTCTTTAATCTGCATAATTAATTCTTTTTCTAGTATAACTCCTCTACTATTAGCAAATTTATTTTCTTAAGTTTTGTTAGACAAGATAGATGCTATGACGTGTTTGTTTCAGAGAATTTTTTGCCTTTATGGATTGTTTCTATTTAACTAATACGGAGAAGAAAAGAGCACCTCCTTTTGCAATGCTTTTTAAAGACGCAAGTCTTTTGTAGATCATCTATGAGCAATTTAAGCTAAATTTACCTTTCTTTGTAATTTACGAAATATCCTTGTTTGCAATTTTCTTCAATAATGTATTTTGATCCAAACTTAGTTACTAAGAAACAATCACTGAAAATGCCATATAATTTCTTTCTGCACCATGAAAATCTTTAGCCATAACATGTACGTAAACACATGCTTCAAACTTGAAACTAATACAATGGATTCAAACATGCAGATCTCTCAATCGTACATCACAAAAGGAAAAACACGACGCGAATATTTCACTGTAACAGGAATTCTAGGTGCCGCTTCCCGTGTAAAACAACGCCACAACTATGTGTTTCCTTTGTTGAATTAAATACAAATGGTCTGATTCGAGATTTCCTAAGAATCGACTTGGTGCGCTGTAAACATTTCGTATTACGTTTGTCATTGTACATGTATGGCGATACCAAAACTTGCGCCGGTGTTTGAAATTAGAATACTAACTGTCCTATCGTTGTCGCAACCAGTTCAAGTGCACAAAGATGTCACGACGCAGCAACCCATTGTTTTGCACAAAACGACTCTACATAGTTCTCTGTTTTCTGTATGTAGGTTGTGATGATAGGTTGCAAAGAGAGGCCATGATGAGGCAAACCCATCGTTTTTTAGGGAAAGACATCGAATCTGGTATTGTTTTCATCAGGCTGCATAACTCTCTATGAATGGTACATTCAACCCAGTCTGGAGTAGTTTCTCTGTTATTGTTGCTGGAAATTAATGTGTAATTTGTGTAGGCAATTCGAGGGGTCTGGTCCTCCAATTTTTAACCAATATTTATATGAATTGAATAATCCCATTACTGATGAAATACTTATAGTGACTTACAAGTAGACTTGGTCAAATGGTGACCAACTGACTCAACCATACCACCCCACTAAATTAGGAACTGACCCACGTACAAATAAACTAACCCACTAAGCCATCATGACCCACTAACACATACCAGACTCTATCACATAAAGACAAATAACAACATAAAAATAAATAACAACATAAAAGCAAATAAAGATGAGTAAGGACCCCATTTTCATTGACCCAACCCACGTACTCCTGACAAGCCCCCTAAAGACTAGGGTCTCTTTCCAATCCGTAACATATCTATCCACTTCAGAAAAGCTTGCCCTCAAGCATAGGAAAGCGTCGTTTGAGCTCATCATGATCCACCTAGGTGGCATCTTTGCTAGCCATTCCTTTCCACTGTACTAACATCTCTACTCCAACTCTCTGTCCCTTGTTACTCATCCTTCTATTCAATATCATCTCGGGCTCAGGCTCTAGAGTGCTCTATGTGGTTACCTTCGACAGCTCAGTAAGTGGCCTGATGTGGTTGCCTATTGTCTTTTTTAAACAAGATACATGAAAAATAGGGTAGATCTGTGAGTTTTGTGGTAGATCTAGTTCGTATGCAATTTTTCCTATTCTTTGTACCACCGTGTACGGCCCATAATATCTCGGCGACAGTTTGAGGTTCCTCCTCATCACGACGGACATTTGCGGGTATGGACGCAGCCTTAGGTAAACTCTATCTCCTGCTTGAAACTCCCTGTCAGTCCGCTTTCGATCTGTATATAACTTCATCTTGGCTTGTGCTTCCTTTAAGTTTTCCTGGACTAATTTGTTGATAAGCTCTCTGTTTCTGAGCTCCTCATCTACAGCATGAACCCTTGTGGAGTCTGGCTCATAAGGCAACATCCTTGGGGGCGGCTGCCCGTAGACCACTTCATATGGGGAAATTCTAGTTGAGGTATGCTCAGATGTGTTATAAGCATACTCAGCCAGAGTCAACCATCGTGCCCAATCATGTGGTCTGTCTCCTAAAAAACATCGTAAGTAGCCCTCCAGTCCTTTATTCACCACCTCTGTTTGGCCGTCAGTTTGGGGGTGATGTGCTGAACTCAGTAGTAGTTTTGTGCCAGTGATCCGAAACAGTTCTCTCCAGAATTGGCTTGTAAAGATTGGATCCCTGTCACTGACAACTGTTATTGGAAAACCATGCAATTTAAATACATTGTCCAGAAAAACACGTGCTATTATTACTACTGTATATGGATGTGAAAAAGACATGAAGTGAGCATATTTGCCCAATTTTTCTATCACCACCATGATCACTGTATGCCCTCCTAAAGGTGGTAACCCTTCAATGAAATCCATGCTTATATCCTGCCAATTTCTGGTGGGAATCGACAAAGGCTGGAGCAGGCCTTTGGGTTGAATTGTTTTCACCTTGTTTCTTTGGCATATATCACAAGCTCGGATGAAGGCTCGAACATCCCATCGCATACCAGGCCAGTAAAATTCCTTTTTCATTTGAGCATATGTTTTATATACTCCTGCGTGGCCCCCTAACAGCCTGCTATGGAACTGCTGCAGGATCGCTTGCTGGAATGGCACCAAGTTTCCCAGATGGAACCTCCCCTTGTAAAAGAATAGGTTATTGCAAACTTGGTACTGAGTTTGGTCCAAGATGCCCTAATGATAGTTTCTCATCAGCTCCTGCAATTGGGAATCTTGGGGGTAAGTCTTTTTAAGCTCTTCTATCCATTGGGTTTGCATGATGCTTATGGCTTGTACTTGTGGCTGAATGGTCTGGTTGTTGTGGAGGATGGGTTATTGGTGTTCTGTTTGGGTGGAAAGGTTGGATTCTGGTTTGGCGTTTGGGTTGGTTGTTGGTTTGTCTATGTAAGGTAACCTGGATAGGGCATCTGCCACTTTATTGGTTTTTCCACTTTTATATTCCACCGAGAAATCATAGCCCAGCAACTTAGATACCCATTTTTGTTGGGCAGTACCCACTCTTTGCTCCAAAAGGTATTTCAAGGCCTGTTGATCAGTGCAGACCTTGAAATGCTACCCCACCAGATAGTGTCTCCATTTTCGTATGGCCATCATGAGGGCCAATAGTTCTTTGTCATAAGTAGAAAGCATAAGACTTCTGCCCTTCAAACCTTGACTTAGATAGGCAATAGGTCTTCCTTCCTGCATTAACACAGCTCCCAGCCCTTCACCTGAGGCATCACATTCCACCACAAAATTCTTAGTGAAATCAGGTAATTTTAAAACTAGAGGACTAACCATGACTTCTTTCAATCTTTCAAAGGCTGCTTGAGTCTTGTCAAACCACACAAAAGAGTTCTTCTTAAGTACAACTGTTAGGGGTGATGCTATGGTGCCATAACCCTACACAAACTTTCTGTAACAATCAGTGAGACCCAAAAATCCCCTTAAGGCCTTCAAATTTTTGGGCAATCGCCAACTCTGCATAGCTGTAATCTTGTGGGGGTCGGCTTTAACTCCATGCTTAGAAATCAAGTGACCAATGTAATCCACCTCAGTACAACCAAATACACAATTAGACTGTTTTGCAAACAAGTGATAGGAATTTAATGTATCTAGAACAATCTGCAAATGCTGTAAGTGGTCTTCTAATGACTTGCTGTAAATTAATATGTCATCAAAGAAAACCAAAACAAACTTTCTCAAATAAGGTCGAAATATCTCATTCATCAATCCTTGTAAAGGGGGCATTGGTAAGCCCAAAGGGCATTACCAAAAACTCATAGTGACCCTCATAGGTCCTAAAGGCTGTCTTGGGTATATCTGGTTCATACATTCTGATTTGATGGTAACCAGAACACAAATCCAACTTAGAAAATATTTCAGCCCTATTAAGTTCATCCAGTAACTCATCAATGTTAGGGATATGATACTTATCTTTCACCGTGTCTTTATTGAGGGCACGGTAATCCACACACATTCTCCAACTCCCATCCGCCTTCCTAACAAGCAACATCGGAGATGAATAGGGACTTTGACTTCCTCTTATGATCCCACTTCTCAACATCTCAACCACCAATCTTTATATTTCTGTTTTCTAGTAGTATGGATACCTATAAGGTCGAACACAAGCTGATTTTGAACCCTCTTGCAACACAATTTTATGATCATGACTCCGAGGCGGAGGTACACCACTAGGTTCTGAAAACACAGGCCCAAAATTCTGCACTATTTTTAACACTACTGTTATGCTGGTCCCTTCAACTGTCCTCACTTCTCCTCCAATTAAATGTAACTAAACCCCCTTAGCAGACCCCTTGTTTAGCTTTGGAATATGTTCTTCTTCTTCTAAAGACTCTCGAGGTGGCTGCAGCCCCTGTAATTTAAACTCACTGCCCCTGAAATTAAACTACATGGTCAAATTAGTGAAATTCCATAGAATGGACCCGAGACTTCTTAGCCAATCTACGCCTAACACCACATCACAACCTCCCAAAGTCAACAGATAAAGATTAGCGTTAATCCTTAAATTTTGTAGTTGAATTGGAACTGCCTTACAGTAACCTTGGCAAGGAAGGCTATCTCCATTAGCCACTTTGACTATCATATGGCTCTCTCCTACTGGCAGCTTAGATCTCCTTACTACATATGGATCCAGAAAGCTATGTGTACTACCTGTGTCAACAAGAATTAAAACCTTGTGATGATTAATAAAACCCTCAACCCTCATGGTCTTAGGTGATAATGAACCTGCCATGGCATGCAATGATATGCCTAGCAGTTCCCCTAACTCATTTTACTCCTTTTCAGACTCCCCCTATTGGATAATGGCCAGCTTCCCTTCACTTGTTTTACTTCCTCTTCTTCCTCCTCCTCTAATCCTTCCAATAGAAAATCCTGGGTCGGCTACACTTATGCCCAAAAT